AGAGCTGATAGTAGATGAGGAAGAAATGAGACTTTGGGCTGTGGAGGTTGTAGGTGAGTGAGTAGCACAGTTGGATCTTCGTGCTAAGGAGAGCAGGTGACACCCAGGCTCTGGCTTGGGTGGTTGGGAAGATGGAGGCACCCAGTTACTACAGTTGGGGTTGTCCTAGGCTTTGGTGGTGACATCTCAGCAAAAAACCTCCTCTGGTGATGTTCTGTTTTGGGTCTGCTGAGTTTGAAGGCCTGATAGGACATGTAAGTTCCTAAGGAGGCTTTGCCAAGTATTTTATAGTGCACAGCTCAGTTTCTGACAGCAGTTCTGTGTTTTTCTTGACATAATTGTACATTTATAAATCACTGAAACGGGGGCATGTCTGTCCAGCTTAGACTGAACTGTGGATGCCTTCTCATGGCCTAATGGATGATATTTGGGTTGTCTTTGGGGTCCATCGGGTTAGACTCTGCTTGTGTAAGTAGCTGCTGTCAGTTATCCTATTGTTGGAGTGCTAGTGACTAGATGGAGTAACTTGTGTTCCTTTCTGTAGGAAATGGGCAGAGTGATACCCTGGTCCTCCTTCCACACAGCCATTCCTACCTGCCCCTTAGAAGTACAGGTAAAGGTACTGGAGTTGTTCAGAGTCCTTGCCACGTGGCCAGGAGTGGGTAAGCATCTGCAGAGTCAGGGTTGGGTACCTTAAAGGACAAGGTGGGGAGAACCTGCCTGCAAAGGTGACTCAAAGGCTCCTTAGAGACACAGAATTTGGTTGAAAAGTGAAGCCCATCTGTGGTATAAATGCCAGGGCCTTTGTGGCCTGGGGCTGCTGCCTGGATGGTCTGGAAGGCAGTGGGCTCAGTGTGGCCTGGCTCTTCCACCTCTCCTGTTCACCACCTATCTGCTCTATGCTTGATGCGGCCTACGTGCCCCCAGAATGGACCCTCACAAGGCCATCTTGAGTCTAGCACTCTCCAGTCCTCTGTTTAGACCCAGGCTTTCTATTGCCCAGGTCTTTTTTCAGGGGAGACTCTGTTTGGCTCAGCTCTCAGCTTCCGAGCACACCATTCCTGTGTGAGCCTGTCCCAGTGGTCAAGGGAAGAGAGGAAGCCCCAGAAGTTGGGAGCAAATTTCAAAGATGGGCAGGAGCAGAAGTTTTAAGTGGCCCAGAGATGTGATCTTTTAAGGGGTCGGGGGTACTTGATTGGCAGATTGAAGTCATTTAGCCAGGTTTAAAGTACTGCTGCAGCAAGTCCACAGGAAGAGTCAGGAGGAGTGACCCACAGTGAGGGCAGGTACTCCTTGTACAGAAACAGAGATTTTTCTTGAAAGTGAAATTTATTTTGGGGGATGTATCAGAAGCATTCGAAGCTTAATTTTAAGACAGTGCAATTTGTGTTGCTTCCTAACACTGAGGCACATCTCTGCCCTTTTTCTAACTCTGGAACAGGCAGTGTCTGCTGTGTCACCTGATACATCATACGACACTCAGTAAAGCTATTCTAGAACTCATTTATTTTTTATAGTCCTGCAAGTTCATAAAATAATCATAACTTATTTCCATTTCTTACTTTGCTGCACGTTGCATGTATTGTGACAGAGCTTATGAGGAGGGCCTTGTAGCCAAAGCAGAGCTGTCCATAAGTTCTGCCTCCTAGGCTAGCAGTAAAACAATTAGTGAAAAGGATCGGAACCCTTTTCTTCTGCACAGCACATGCCATTGTGTCCCTGTGGCTTTCAGAGTTTTTAGATGAGCAGCTTGCATATCTGGGACTGAGCCTGACCACTGACTGCTGACCAGTTTGGCCTTTCAGATCTCAGTTACAACCACTGTCGGTAATTTACTACTACATCTTTTGGTAGGCCTTGTGACAAGGCCCAGATTCACAACTGGAACCAGGGAACCAGCACCACCCGTTGTACAAAATTCCATGGTGCTTGGCAACTAGTTAGAGGTGGTAAGGCAGTGTGGCAGTGTGGCAGTGTGACACTTACCTCTGGTGGAGCCCTCTGGAAACATGAGACTGGCTCCTGAGCTGGCGTTGGAGCGCCATCTGGAGGCGCTAGGAACAGCTGGGTTCTCTGTGACAACAGAACCAGGGACCTGGTGGGTGAAATCTGCAGGTGCAAGTTGGCAGCAGAGGAGAAATGGAGTTATGGAGAGCCAACAGTTGCCACGCAGACCCCATAATGCAGGTTATGGGGTGGGCCTGTAGGCAGCGGTCCATCAATGAGAAGCAAGACCAGTGGTCCAAGTGCAGAGCTGTCACCATGTGTGAATATTGTCTTCGTCCCAGCCAAGCTACAGATGGAGTTAGAACAGGACCTAGGAAGAAGGGAGACTGGATGTGCCCCCAGAGAGACAGATCTAAACTAGGAGTTAGAGGCCATGACGAGGGGGAGAACACGTTGAGAGCAGCTTGCAGAAGTATAGTGGGCCTGGGGTTTTAAAAAAAAAAAAAGTTGAGCTAAGCAAGGCAAGTATACTGACCTTAGCAAAGCCGAAGCCAGCTGTGAGGGACAGCTGCGGCGGACAGCGGGAGCCGCCATTCACAAACACGAGAGGAAGGGTTTTGCCTTTTGTTTATAACACCACCGGCTACACCTGGTCTCCTCAGGTGCAGACACTGACCACATGGAAGAGAGTGCCTAGGTGTGTTTGTGCACGAAGCAGTTCTAAGGAGGAGAGAGCAAACATGGCTAGCTTTTGAGTTTTATGTGGCACATGTCAGAAGTTAGGTCCTTTAAATGCACAGAACATTTGCTGTCGTGAGTGGTATTTTTTTCCTTTTGGTAAGACTAAGGATGGTTGGAAGTCACTTGGCTTCACTTATATCAGAACAGCACTAAGTCACCACACCAGGACAGGGTGTATGAGTCTGGGAGTGGTAAGGTGTGCTCTGGCACAGAGGCCAGCTGGAGCCCACCCTTGTCACTGTGTTGGGACTAGAGCACAGGCCGTTGAAGACCGTTACCATGTTGTATTAAGCTTCAGAAGACCCCCACATACACCATGTCCCATATGCCGTTAGCGTCTATGAGACGGAGTTAAACTTTGATTCACTCAATTTTAGACATTTAGTGCTTATTGAATTTGCGGGGTTCTTTTCATGTTTTCTATCAGTAAGGTTTTTTTTTTCAGATCTTCCAACATTTTCATAGGCCTTTTGAGCTGCTCACAGCCGTAGAGCCTATGCCTAGCTGCCCAGGGGTACGATGTCCCTGTCCTGCTGGGAAGCAGGTGTCGTGTTTGTCTAGGCATGTCTGGGGGGCAGACTTGCCAGCACCCTGCTTGCTTGTGGGATGGAAGAACCTCCTGGAAAAATTGCATCCTAAGGGAGGGTGGGGAGGGGCAGTAACTGTTCCAGTTGGGGTATTTTTGGTGCTGTTGCAAGGATCAGAGACCAGTACAGGACATTTTCAGGAGGGCTGTGTCATAAAGATGAACATGGGCAAGGAATCCAACAGGAGCTGGGGTGGTTCAGAGACAGCCTCGTCCTTCCCCAGGACAGTGGTTTCTCATGGCATCTCTCTTCTTGTTTGTTTTTCTCCCCTTGCTGTTGTCAGATTAATTTTTCCTGCTACATACGTCCTCTGCCTTTAGCCTCTCCTTACTGATGTCTGCTACTTCTTCATGACTTTGGTTTGCGGTGGCTTCTTGTGCCCTCTGCCATACCTGTGTATGTTGTAACCTTTCGGCTTCATCTCTCAGGCTGACCACCTCATTCTTTCAGGATTGCTTAGATTCTTGGAACACAGGGAATCTGATTTTATTGCTGCTTTTATTATTGCTCCAAGCCATGACATTGGTTACAGTTTAGCTCTTGGGTCAGGTGGCTGTGCTTGGCCTCCTAAGCAGTCATGTGGCTCAAGGCAGCCTGGGTCTCCTTACAAGTGGGACAACGCCATCAGCAGGGCCTGCAGGTGCACAGGCACTGTGACTGTTGTACTCAGTAAGGATGAAGCGTGGGAGTCCTCCACTTGGACTCCCACCCCTTAAAAATGTGTCCTAGAACAGCCTGTAATCTAAGCCAGCCCCTTCTTCCCACAGAGAACCCCTTCATACGTCACAGGTCCTTTGACTTTTCCTTTTCCCTCCTGTTTTGTTCAGTCTGATGGTGGAGGGCTGCCCAGCACATTCTGCTCTCTTTCTCGTGTGAGTGATTTCTGCTGAAAATGCCATGGCTCCTTCAGAGAGCTCTTAGCACATTGGGTAATTTGTAACCTCATGTCTTTTCATGTATTTCGTTCCCAAAAAATTTTGGGGAGCTTTATATGCACATGGTGACTAAGCATTGTCTCCAGAATTTCAGCATTTTAAGACAAGAAGTAAATGTCCCATCCAAATGTAAACATAGCAGCAATTTGATATCTAAGTCCCTTAGTATATCATACACCAAAGGAAGAGTGAATTCCCAAACTTAAAAATAGAAGTTTCTCCTAAATTACTCTGAGTCACTATGGAGTGGAGCAGAGCAGAGGGAGGAGGTGGAATGCTAGCTCATCTGTGTTGAGCCCTTCAGATGTGCAGGCACTGGTGGAAGGACTCATGCATTAGCTGCTTTATAGGGTCTGCTGCCTTTTTATCTCCATTAACTCTCTTGACCTGGGAGGTCAAGGGTTGGTAAGGCTAGGGCAGAACCCCTTCCATCTGACTCTGGTTTGTCTCTTCACCGCTCCTGTCAGCTGAGCACCAGTGTGTACCAGTGGGCTTTCTACTCCCTGGGGTTCTAGCCAGTCATCCAGGAGCCACGAGCCTGCATCTCTGGGAAAGTGACTCCTGAATCTCAGAGGGAAGCTGTGCACACTGCCCAAGTTTTCCTTTCTGTGCTTTCTCTGTTCTCATCCTTTCTTTGGTTTTTCGTGCCTTGAATCCCAAGTAAACCTCAAAATAAGTGGGTCTCCTGTGCTTTGAGATGATGGACCATTTGTCATAGCCAGATCTGCAAAAACGCTTTGATCCTGAACTCCGCCAACATAACTGGCTTTTTTCTCTCTCCATCTTCCAGCAGGACCCCAAAGCTTCTGTAGCCCTGCGGTCACCAAGGGCCTTGCCTTTGCTTCTCTGGAATGTCCTGTCACTGAGGTAAGCTTCCCCCTCATCGGACCCTTTGTCCTAGGTGAAGAAGCCCCTTTGGCTAGTTTAAATCAGAGCTGTTGTAGTTTCTTCCAGATAGTGCCCTTTGTGCTCAGTGAGGAAGAAACTCCTGGGCTCCATGATCTTCATCAGATTCACCTTCATCTGGCTTTGGCTTTGGGCAGGCCCCTTCTCACTCAGGATGGCAGAAGTATCTTCATTCCTCTGCACCTTTATTTTCTTTTCATGTGAGCCTATGAGTGCAAAGGCTGTGCTCTGTGGTTCCTGTCCTCATTGAAGTTGTAAGGCTTTTTGTAAAGCTGACTCAGTTGCTCCTTAAGTTTCTCGTGTTTTCTTCCGAAACCTGAGCAATATTTTCCCTAAATGTGAGTTCTGGAACTTGTCTTACCTGGAGATTATGGCTTTACTTCTGTCTCTGTGCACACTGTGTATTCCCAGCACAGTATTTTTTCCCTGTTTTCTAATTTGAATTTTCGTGATTATATCGTAATGGCCACTCCCCAGCTCAATCCAGAAAGAGAGGAAGTATGTCGTGTGGAACAGGTGTCTGTCTGTCTTCATCTGATCATTGCTGAGGTGCAGAAAACTTGTTGAACCTGCAGTCCGGATCTCTGTGATTTACAGGGATTATAAGATAAATCCTGTCCGTGCGGAGCTGGGAAGCGGGAGAGAGGAAACCTGTGTCTGGTGGTTGGCCTCCAGTGGGCGCAAGTGGCTTCTTACCACTTCTGCATGCCCAGGGTGCCTTTCTGAAGCTCTGGGCTTCTCCCGTCCCTCACTTCATTCCCTCATCCAACAGGGAGAATTGAGCCAGTGAGTTAAAGAATGTCCCCGGCCTCTGTCCTGGTGGGTTTAACTGTGCCAAGGTGGAAGGTGGGACCCATGTGGATGTGTGATGTCTTTCATCTTTTCTGGCCAAGTGGTAAGGCACAGCTGCCCCTGATGGACAGGTGTCCAGCCCTCTCTGTTCCTTTTCCCTTATGCTAGGTTGGTTTTGGGTGACTGCCCTGTTTGGAAGATGGGGCAAGTGTGTCTTGGCGTGCTGGCAAATGTTCTGTTTCTTTCCGGCCCTGTTTGCTCCTGTGCTCGTTTTGGTTTCCCTTGGCCAGCTTCTTATTACAGCAGTAAGATGAAGATTCAGGCCTAGTATTTTGTGAGTTCCTCTGCACACCAGTATATGCTTTGGTTTCAAGCTAAAGGTTGCCAGTAACTTGGGGAAAAGGAGTTCTCCATGAGGTCTTGCTTAGCATGTGGCATGCCTCACTGGAATTGAATCACAGGCCAGCTAGTCATAAGCGTTCATGTCTTGCATTTCTAGCTCAGTCCTGTTTCCAGGAACTAAGGTACCTAGAGGTGAGAGGTGTTTGCTGAGGCCACTGGCCGGATTGGATACCAGCCTTCAGTGGCACAGACCTCCATACTGACACCACACTGGCTGGCAGTGCCATCATGACCCCGCATCGCCTTGGAGCCTGCAAGCTCCAGTTTCGCTTCCTCTGTCAGGACCTTCCCTGGCCCTTTCTGAGAGTGGGTGAGAGTGTGCTTCTATCTATGTCAATCCTGAGTCAGGATTACTGAGGCCTACCCGTGCCGGGGTGCTTGTCATCTCGTGTGACTCCTTGGCAGGAGCAAGCAGTTGCTCATGCACCCGCTGCTTGCTGAGCCAGGCCTGCTCCACATGGCCGCTCCCTTGGACATGTCAACTTTGTTTGCCCAATGAGTCGACTTAGGAGTTGTGATCCGGGTATGGAAATAGCAGCGCTGAGGTCCCTAAAGCAGTGATAGTCTTAGAGACCTGCCAGGGGTTTGGGGAGAGGCAAGGGTGCCGCCATTGACGGGAATCAGAGTTTTGGTTTTGCGAGTTAAAAGAGTTTCTGTGTGCATATAGTCAGTACTACTAAGCTGTGCACTTAAAATTGTTCAAGATGGCAAGTTTTTTGTTGTTTATTACTGCAGTTTAAAAAAAAAATTTATCAAAACCAGCCAGCATACCAAATCCTTAACTTTTGACCTGTAAATCCCTGTGGCCACTCGTACCCCAGCATTGCTGAGGACAGCTGTGCTTCCCTTTCACCTTCTGTTCCTCTCTTCTCTAGGGTAGGGCCTGATCTGTCTTGTTTCTTCCTGCTGTTAGCTAATCTGGGCCGTGTGGCTCTCCAGCATTGCTTCTGCCTCTTTCCTTTCTCTTCTGGGCTGGAGCATGGGCACTGCCCCTTTGCTTCTTCCTTTCCCCAGGATGGAGGAAGCAGGCTTAGCCAACAAGAGCCATTCTCACATGCGCTGGAACAGATTGAGCCCCTGAGATCCCTTCCACGTTCCCACCCGGGGCCAGCAGGAAAGAGGGCATTTTCTTACCCCCTGTTGTCCCTGCCCTGCTCTTCTTCCATGGAGAATCTGTGCATTGCCCCATCTGCCTCCCTCTTGAGAGTCGAGGAGGTAGCAGGACTGCAGCACTTGGCCTGCCTCATGGGAGGGTGAGTATGCCCTGCTTAACCAGTTGCCTCCTTAGCTCTGCTTGTAGCTGCACAAGCTGAGCTCACACAGCTGCTTAGCGTCGGACCAAGAGTCTGAACTTAGGCCTTTTGCCCACAGGTGCGTTGCTCTGCCCTGTAAGTTGCTGTGATTCTTTCTTATTGCAGACTATGCTTAGCCTTGTGTGTGGCATTCCTGTGGGCCCCCACCCACAGCCCCCGAAGGAAATCATTCTGTGTTCTTCCCAGGCATTTTTTGTATGTGTGCTAAAGAGAAGAAAAAAATGTAGTGGAGTAGGAAATATGAGGCTCTCCTAAAGTTGTTTGTAAAGCGCCACCTGTGTGTAGAGAGCCAGGAGAATGCAGTAGGTGGGAGTGGGAGGTGCAGAGGAGGAGCCCTCATTAGGGGAGATTAGATCATCAGGGTTTAGAGGCCTCTGCCTGGGAAATGACATTCTTGGCAGATGAATGAATGTGTCATGCTTTAATTAAAATACAGGAAATAAAGAAGCAAGCGTTCATTTAGCCTTAGTTATGCTCTAGGTGCTCTGGTAGGTGCTTTCCACTTATTACCTTCCTTAACTATCCCAGCCAGGTGCTGTGGATATTGCTACCCCTACATGTGCAGATCAGTCTGAGATCAGTGTGGTCACAGCAGGTGGCAGTGCCTAGGCCCACATGCAGCTGTGTCACTCCTAACGTCATTCTGTGGGAGGCATGCCAGGTCCTCTTTCATCGCATCATAGCATGCACTGATCCTTCTTGGACACAGGAGAAAACTTAGCATCGTCCCCTCAATGATCGATTGTCCTTTGGACCTAATTTCATAGTCTTCGTGGTAATTTCTAGTCAAAGAAAAAATCAGACACAGACTCTGTGTCTTTTCTACCAGGAGTCATTGGGCAAGTCACGTGAAGAGCAGTTTTGCAGGAATGATGAAAGACCCTCTCTTCCCTGAAGCCCTTAACCCGAGGCCCAGCTGAACTTGGACTGTGATGAGAGGAATCAGGAGCATAGGACTTGAGGAGTATAGGGCATGAAGAACTCTGGGCAGCACCGAGGGGAGAGGTAGGGTGAGGAGGCAAGGCGCCACATGCTGGCCAGGGGAGAGATGAGGACACCCTCTCTGGAGATTTGGGTGAGTGGTCGAAGAACCATCGCTGCCTGCTCTGGCACTTAACAGGCACATGGGTGTCCAAGTCGACTGGCAGCAGAGATTTGGACAGGAAGGCATCAAGAATGCTGGAAATCTCCCACCAGTCAGGAGGCAGATTTCTTTTAAAGTTTGACTTCATTCTAAAAAGGACAAGAGTAGAGCCTGGCTGACCTCACCAGTTTAGTTGGAGAAACCTGCTCAGAATCAAACCAGCTCTAACCAGTCTATAAAGGTTGGAAGTTCTCCTGTTAAAATGGAAGAAGGTGACCAGTGACAGTCCTTCCAGAGGTTCTGGCAGTTCTGAGAGCACCAGGCAGGACCTGTCACCCAGATGCCAGTGGCCTTTCACCGAGTGGTAGTCAGTGCCAGAGATGACCCTCTGTGAGGAGCCCCGGTCTGAGGCCATTCTTTTGTTCCAAAGTGCATGATGGAGTGCCAGGGTACCTGAGCCAAGCAGGCCTTTGGGGAACAGAGCCTGGTCTGTCCCAAGAATGGATGTGCAGAGTAGTAGGCCTGAGCACAAGCACAGAAGTTGCTGGTGCATGCTGGGAGTCTCCCCATCCTGACTACCTCTAGCTTCCATTGCCTGCTGTTGGCCTGGAACATGGAGAAGGCTGAGCTCCCACTGGAGTGACCATGCATTGGGAAGAGGACCTGGCCAGTGGTCTTCCAGTTACCGTCAGCTGGAGGAGGAGCCGGCAGGAGCAGAGGGGCCTCTAGGGTGGCAGGTGACACCTCCTGCAGAGGCTCTCTGGGAGACCACTGCCCAGGCAAGAGGCCAGGACCTCAGGGTGGATCCTTGCTGTGACCTGTTACCAGTGAAGTGGCTCATAGCACATGCGGAGGAACTGGTGAGGAAGAACAGCCCTGGTGTGTTCCAGAGTGAGGTCCTAGGAGAAGGGTGGGGATGGCGCAGGGCCTGTTTGGGACATGAGCCTGCTGGGGCAGTGGAATGGTGTCTTCCAGGCTGATAGCAATGGCAGAGGCAAAGTAGGGTGGCCTTGGTGTTTTTCAGTCCTAGTTAGTGTGTGACGAGTGACTACTGTAGTTAACTTATTCTAAGGCAGGCAAAGCAAAGATCAAGTGGAGCAGGCCCAGGTACCACGTAAGGCTTCTTACTGCTTGCATGTTTAGACTGCAGCTCTGAGAAGGTGCAGCGGGGGATTAGAGGCAGCGGTCAGTGCCTTGGTTGTGTTGCCATGTTCTGAAGCACGCAGCAGTGGACGCCCTGGGCGACCCTCTCAGTCCTGATCTCGGGCAGCGTGCAGGCCCTGGTTCCTGAATGGTCTCCAGTTACTTCTGTGTGCCTCTGCCATGCCCTGCCCAGTGAGAGCTGTTGGCTTTCCTTCTGGGCTCCTGTT